CATGATCGATCTACCATCGATGATGATGATGGTAATGGTGATGATGAAAATAAATGTGCGTGTGTGTGTGTATTGATGGTGGTGAACCAACATATATGCTTAATGCTTATGTCAAAATGGTTGAAATTAAATTTATGATTAATTATTAATCTTTGGTTGTATGGCATATCATCATCATCATCATCAGGATATTATGGGAAAAACGAGAAAACTAGAAAATAACCATTTGGGATCCAGAACGACAGTGTGTAGTTCAGTTTAACATAGTTATAACGGTATAACGGTTGTTACAAACAAAAAAAAAGTCATCATAAAATTGTTCGCTAAGTAAAAGTTTGTCCAAATACCCAAACAAACATACCAAATTGGCTCAAATTATCATTGTATCATTGGCTATAGCTAAATTCAACTATTCAGTAAAAGAATGCAGTGAAGAGGAGAGGAGAAGAATTTTATTGATTTTTTATGCAGATATATAATGGACATTGTCAACATACAAATGAAGAGATGGACGAATTGGAGTTATTCATTTAGCTTGGTTATCTCATTCATTCAGTTCGGGGGTTATATGTAAAAAAAAAATTTCAGAATGAATGGACCCAACCAACTCAATAAACATTTCATTTGGGTAATGTAAAATTAGATTGAACCGAAAAGATTTCTCTCATTTTCTATCAATGAAATTAATCAAGAGTTAAGTAAATAAATTTTTCTATCTTTTTACTGACTTTATCTTCCCCCTCGCTTCGCCCACCCACCTTACTAATGGCAAATTCTGTATTTCGTCTTGTTGTTTCAATGACCAATGACCAATGTGACAGTATCAATTTACCATTGACAACAATTTGATATGGATGTTTCAAAAGAAAATTCTGTTTGTTTGTTCTGGGTTAGATTGACAAAACACACACACAAGGAGAGAGAAATTGTATATATGCAAAGCAAACAACAACAACAACAACAAACCGGAAAACGAATTGACAACAACAACAACGACAACAACAACAACGATAATACCAACAACAACAACAACAAAAATTGACAAGATTTTTAATTTTCTATATATACCAAAAATCAATTGAAATCTAATGTTTTTCAAATGAATGAATTTTGTTATTTGTTTTTATCAAGTTCGTTTGTTTTGTTTTGTTTTGTTTTGTTTATCTGTTGTCATTTGATGGACAAAGAAAAAAGATTCAAATGTCAATGTTATTCTTCAACATAGTGACCATGTTAACTAAATATTTTGATAATAATATTGAATTACGAAATAGGAAAAAAAAGGAAAAAATCACGATTGAAGATAATGTAGAAAAAGAAATGACAGATGTTAACAACAACAAAAAAAAACTAAAGATTAAAAATTACGGAACAAAAAAAAAACTTTGAATTCTGGAGAATCTAAAAGGGTTAATCAGATATTATGGTTGAATCAAGACAGAAAAAATCCTGAATTTCCGTTCTGTCCATCAGTTTTTGTTGCTGGACCAAATGATGATAATTAAAATTGAAGAAAAAAAAAGTTTTGATTCAAAAAAAAACTTTTACATGTTGATGAAAAGTCCTTGCAAATAGCCAAAGCTATTATAAACAGAAACTTTTTCTATGTAATAAGTTGCCTAATAATCATCAAAACCAACGCAAAGTATGAATTCATCATACACACAAAAGATATAAATAAATGAATGAATGAATGAAAAGAATCATTAAAAATGCATCGAATTAATCCAATTTTAACCAGAGAAAAAAAGAGAAACAAACAAAAAAATGGTAAACAAGCAAAACAATAAGGAAAAAAAACAAATTACATTCAAGATTCAAGAGTTTTGTTTTGCTGTTGTTAGTTCCTGTCGATTTTTGATTAAATTTTTAGCCAAAAAACGAAGAAGAAATGATTAAGTTGATGATGAAAAAAAGAAAACGATGTCATTTCGAAAGCAACAGCAGTGAATCTTACCCCCAAAACAAAAAAGTATTTCCATTTTACTTTTGAAAAAAAACTTTTTTTTCTTCATTTGATCAAATAATATAATTGTTAGAAGTATGTTGTTGACATTGTAACATTACGTTTCAATTATGTAAATCAAAAAGAAAAAAAGTTAATTCAAAAAAAAAAGTAGAAAAGTAAGAAAGAAGAAGAATCAAGAAGAAGGATGAACAAATTAATGAAAAAAACATCAAGGATTAAAAGAAACAGAAGCAGAAACAGGTACAATGTTTACATCAATAGAGTTTTCGTTTTCTCCTTTCTTTTGGTTTCTTCGTACGCAAATTAAAAAAAACAGTAGCAATGAGGTCAAACATCAAATAGCACTTGACGATGTAAAAAGAATCTTCTCTATTGAAAACGGATTGAATGAAAATGGAATTTGCTATTCATTTAGTCGAGATGAATGTGCTGTGAATGGATTGATATCAAATCAATAGCAAAAATGGGAATTGAATTAATTAGAGCTTAACCAAAATGATAATAATAATAACGTTACAGAATTCAGAAAAAGAAAAAATTGAATCGTAAAATTTTTTTTACGAAAAACAAATAAAAACGAAAAAAGATATCAGAGATAATAGCCATAGATAAGGCTATAAATAAATTATTGGTTTCTCTCTCTCTCTCTCTCTCTCTCTCTCTCTCTCTCTCTCTCCCTCTCTCTCTTTNAAAATGGAATTTGCTATTCATTTAGTTACGATGAATGTGCACTGCGAATGGATTGATATCAAATCAATAGCACAAAAATGGGAATTGAATTAATTAGAGCTTAACCAAATAATAATAATAACGTTACAGAATTCAGAAAAAGAAAAAATTGAATCGTAAAATTTCTTTTTCTTTTTTTACAAAAGCAAATAAAATGAGAACGAAAAAAGATATCAGAGATAATAGCCATAGATAAGGCTATAAATAAATTATTGGTTTCTCGCTTTCTCTTTGGCTCTCTCTCTCTCTCTCTCTCTCTCTCTCTCTCTCTCTCTCTTGGTAGATATATCATTCATATTATTTTATCAGGAAAATCGATTGGATTCGACTATCGAATATCAAAACGAAAAAAATCCAATGTTCCATCCAATGTGGATGATGAGAATGGAGACAACAAACAAACAAACAAAAATGAAATAAATAGCAACAACAAATGATGACACCCGCGGGATGGATTCATCATAATCATATAACACACACATACACAACAGCAGCACACTCATAAACACACAAATGAGAGTTTAGCATCAATAATGATGATGATAATAATATCAGAGTGAAGACGAGTAAAATAATTGAAGATAGAAACCCGAAAAGCAAAAAAAAAAAATATTAAGCGATATAATCATGATGATGATGATCCTCTTTTGTTTTTTTCATTCATTCATTCATTCATTTGGTGAAATTGATATTTTTTTTTTCTTTTTCGGTTCTCAGATTCTTTATTCTACAAATAATACAATTTCTACGCAATGTGAAAAAAACAATGAACAACGAATAGGGATCATTAAATTATTCATCGTGTCAAATATCGGTTATGAGTGTTTATTAAAACACAAAACAAATTGTTGATTACAAGAGTCAAATATAATTTTATTTGAATTATGAAAATTTTCAAAAGAAAATGTCAATGACATTTCGCTTTTTCCATCGATTCTCGATGATTTAGTTGAGTTTAGTTAGTTGAGAAACAGAACAAAAAAAAAATCTATTTCATAAGATAATTTGATCCAGAGAAAAAAATGTTGCCTTCATCATCTTGAAATGGATAGAATTTTTCAAGTATCGATTACAGAATACGAATCGAATCGACCGACATTTTGTTTGTTTGGTTTGAATATTTCCATCATCACTGACAATTTTTTTTCAAATCTTTTTTTTTTTTTCAATGAGGTTCTTTCGGTATTGATCGGTATATTTTTTTTCGAAAAAATCATATACTAACAAACTAGATTAAGAGAAAAGATGTATCGGATTTTTTTTTCTGCCTCCATTGCTTATATCCACTACCAAACACATTGGAAAGTCCATTGAACAAATGATGAAAATGAAAAAAAAAAATCCGAATTCCTTCGAGACAATGAATAAACTCACTCTGACTCTGACTTAATAACGACAACATTCTCATTTAATATCTCATTTTTTTCCTACTACTTTCTTCTGTGTGTGTGTTACTTTAATGGAAATTACACATCGAGAAAAGAAGAAAGAAAGCAAAAAATTCCAATCCATTTACAATCAGCCAAAAATTTTTCTCGTTCAAAGTGAGTTCATTATACTTTTTTTCATTTCTGGTTTGAGTTTGAGTTCCAATAAGTCAATGTCCATCAAAAAAAAGTAGCGATGATGATATTAACAGCAAACAAAAAGTACGGATCAAACATCAAGATGAAAAAAGCATTGACAAAAACATGTTTGTTTTCGATATTTCGATATCGATCAAACATCGAAAACAAAACCAAAACGAGAAAAATAGGAAAAAGAAAAATTGCATACAACCATATTCACCGTTTACCATTATTATGACATTGTATTCAATCTAATCTATTTACCATATTTAGTTAATCAATCATTAAAAGTCTTTCTTTTTTCTTTCATTCTTTCGTTGTGAAAATTCTGTCAACGACAACCAATAATAATCGGATCGAAGTTTTTTGTTGTTTGCTTGTTGTAACATTGTGAATAAAAGAAAATATAGAATGAATAAACAACAACAACAAATTTTTGACAGTTACAACCAGAAAAAAACCAGATCAGAATAGTGTTGAAAATGGAAAAAGGAAACTTTTAACAAACATCTATAACATCTGTCCTATGAACAATATGGAAAAAGAAAGTCTGGTGATGAAACGAACAAACAAAATCACCAGATAAAAAGTATTGAATTTTTGTAACTTAAATAAAAAAAGTATTGAATGGTCAGTTGTTGAACAATGACAAGTTCTAGTGAAAAACACATAGGACAAAAAACGAAAAGATTTTTCTTTTCTTTTTTATTATTATTCAAAAAAACCCAACTAACCTTCCACTGTCCTTTTCCAAAGCGTTCATTATATATAAGGTACTTGTGCGTTTATAAGTGGTTTCTGATGTTATGGACGTTTTTGATGATAACGATGATGATGGTGATGGCGAAGAAGAAGAAAAAGTTAACAATGGATCTTCGACAATAGAATTTAGATTGGATCGATGAACTCGATGATGATGTTGATTAACAATAGTAGTATATTCTTCTGGTATCATGATAGATTCATGATGATGATGATGATTACCAGATAATTTTCTTTGATGTTTATTCGATGAATATGATGAATAAAGTAATGAATTTTCATTAGATTCTTTTGATTGTTGATTTTGTTGATCATTAATATCATTATTATCATTATCATCATCATCATCAGTAATAAGATCTAATTGTGAATTATTACCATTACCAACTGGTAATAATGACATCATAATACCAGTTGAACTATAACTTTCACGTATTAAATACATTTGTCTACCAAATGTCATTAATGACATATTACGTATTGTACGACCACGCCATTCCCATTCTATTTGTACATTTGGTATTGCTTCCATTACACAACCAATTGATGCATTTTCACCTACAAAAACAAAACAATATAAGAATGGACAAAAACAAAATTAGAAATAGGAAAATTATTATCATTATAATCAGCATAAATACTGTGTGTTATATATGAATAATTTACATTCAATTAGAGATTTTATCGATAAACATTTTTGTTTTTGGGCTATCGATAATAATCGTAATAACAAAAATAACGTACATTAATGAATGAATGAATTCTATTTATACGTTTGTGTTGAAACAAACAAAACGAAATGGTTTTTTTTAAAAAAAAAGTTTAACAAGATAAATTAATTAATTTTTTTCTCGTTCGGTTTGTTTCTGTGAATCATTTTTCCTATAAAGCCAAAGTAGCAGCATTAAAAATATGGCTTAATTTTTCCTATTAAGCTAAAAAACAAAGAAAAAAAAAAGACATTTTCCGATTTTTTTGTTTTCGTTTTCGTTTTCGTTATTCTCGTGCATAATTCAATACAATCATTATTCAATTTTATCCATTTGATTCTATGTGAAACGGATTTTTTTCTGGGGGGAATCCAAAACAAAACGCAGAAAAATCGAATTTAAACATTACAATAAACACAAACAAAACAAAAGCAGGAAAAAACTTAACGAACAACAACAACACAAATAAGCTTATCAGTTAACAAATTAAATGAAATGAATGTTTCTTTTTGTTTTGTTTCATAATGATAAAAATGTAGGCCAATTCTCATTAATGAATCAATGAATCAATGCGCTTGGAAAAATGGAAAACAAAACAGTGGAAAAAATTCCATTGTTTTTTTTTCGTTTTCGTTGGAGATGCTATTGGTATTTTGGTATTTTTTTCGCTCTCTTTCACTCTCTTCCAATTCAAAATCAATGTGTGAAACTGATTTTTTTGGATGAAATTTGATTATTCTATGATGAAATTAACTGATATTGCAGCAGAAACATTGAAAAAAAAATGTACAAAGGCGTCATTGATGATGATGATGATAAAAATGCTTTTCATGTAACGAAAAAATTCCAAATTTTTTGCATATGAAAAAATATTCGCAGACAGTGTGTATTCCCTATGAGGATTATTGCATATTTATTTTTTCCATCATATCAAATAATAATAACGAGGGGGGAATTCAGTTGTAGTTTTTTTTTGCCATTATAATGAACAACAAAAAAAAACACTCAAGTAATGTTGTGCAGAAAAAAAAAGATTTTCTTCTCTAGATCTCTATTGGTGCTTGGAAATCTGGATTGAAACAAAAAGGTCGCTGGTCATCAAAATCGTAATATTCTTGTGCTGGCCAGTAATATTCAATGAATTTTCCCTGTGTCGTTTGAAAATCTCTGCAATCGCTAAGTAGGATGGAGTTGAACACAGAGCTTAGCTCACAGAGAAAACAACAATCCAGAAAGACAGAAAATGAAAAAAAATAAAATTATTTTTTATTAAAGTTTTTTTCATTTTATTTTAAACTTTCGCATCCATTTTCGGTATCATCGAAAGATAGAAATTGAATCATTTTGGCTGCAAGAGAAACGAATAGAAGCTAATAACAATAATATCAATCATGAAACTAAATTGGATTGTCGTTTTTTCTCTTTCTCTTTTTGATTGTTCTCATTCTGTACAATTTCTGTAAATTTTCCCGAAAAAAATTTCCCATTTATATTCGTTTTTCCGAAACAAAAAGCGAGGCCAATTGAATGGAATTTTTTTTTGTTGAAAATTACACACAGAGAAACAGAGAAACACATACAGAAAATTAATTCGGTCATCCATCAACATTGATTTTAATGTATAGGATTCTAGTTTTAGTTTTTTGAAATGTAAAATGGCCAAAAACGTTCGGGAAATGCGACGAAAAGACCATAGACATAGACAGAAGAAGAATACACTCTAAACATCATCCCTAATGACCATTTATAATTGAAATTAGTCGAAATTTTGTTCTCTCTTTTGGTTCTCCCTTTTATATTCATTAATTCTTCTTGTTGTTGAATAATTAGCATGTTGTTAATCAAAAAAATGTTTTTTTTTTGGATGCTGAGTGAGAGAGAGAGATCGATTTAATTAACTCTTTTTTTTCATTTGATTTATGCGAGTATTATTCCTGTTTTTGTTTTTTTCGTCATCAACATATTTATCTCATTGAATTTTTGTCGTCGATGATGATGATCATCATTATCTTGATTAAAAAGGAGGGGACAAACACGAACAAATCTTGTTGACAATGGTGTTTCGGCAATGTCCGAGAAAAAGAAAGAAAAAAAATCGGTTTCGGACAACAATTCAGTAATTGGATTGTCTTTTTTTGTGTTTGTTTTTGTTTTGGTGTAAATAACAAACCCGAAAAAAAAGAAAGAAAGAAACGACAATGACAATCAGCAATGATAGAATAAATGTTGTTGATGATATGATTGGGGTTAGTTTTACTCGTAATTGTTGTTCTGGTGTGTTTTTCTTTTTGGTTCTGGTGTGTTTAACACATGTTATCCTCATCATAATTATATCAATTTCAATCACTAATTGTTGTTGTTGTTGTCGATTTGTTGATTGAACGAAGCAAAATGATTTTCTCGTACATGATCAACAAAGTCATGTTTATCTTTTCTTTTTTTTCCTATTGATTACGTTCAACATTGATTTTCTTCGTTCGATAAAAAAAAAGTTTCATATTTGATTTGATCGGGGTTAAATTATTTGGGCTGCTGATCGATTGAAATTAATCAAAAAAAAATTTTCAAAATGGGGGGCTGGGAGAGCTGGACAGAAGAAAAAAAACTACTGAAATCAAACACATTGACGATAACGATCGTTGAAGAAAGATGAAGAAAAAAAAACAGGAGATTCTATTTAGCAATATATTTCGATGAATCATGAAAATTGGATACGGATATACATTGCTTGTATGTATGTTTGTGTCGAGAAGTAAAAATCGAGCCGCTTTTTGAATATTTTCTTTTTTGCATTGAATGTTACAGATTTCATTCTGTTCAACCATCCATAAACTGATGAACTTGACAAGTTGACCGTTATTTCTATTTTTTTTATATAGTTTGTGCTTTTTATATTTCAAGTCCATTGAATTCTTTCCATTGAAATGTATTTTTCCAAAAAAAAGAACAATGAAAAGCAAAGAGAATTTGACTTGTAGACACCAGCTGTATTTACTATTCAAGAATCGAGAGATAAAAAAATCTCTCTATTTTTTCAATCTTTTTTTCATGTAAAAAAAATCTTTTCTTTTTTTTCTCATTCTGTTCAACAATCAAGATTATAACCAACCAACCAACAAGCAAGCATCATCATAAATAACAAACACGAAAGATGACGATAAGCATTGTTCTGGGGGGATGTGGTGGTGGTGGGAATCGTTCCAAAATTGATGACAAAATGAAGAACACATTTTTTGTCATCATCATCATCAATGGTCGAAATAAGACATTTTGTTGAAGAAGGAAAAAAGAAAAGAAAAGTTGACAATATTTATGATTCGGAATAGTTTTCTCAATTTTTTTTTAAAACAGAAATTCAAAAAAAAAAGTTTCTGAAATGAGAAGAAAGAAAGAATTTGTCTCGTCAACCATTAGCCATCATTGAACTAATGACATAATCTTTATTTTCAGCAGTAGTAGCAAAATCATCATCATCATAATGATGGTCATGAATGATGGAAACATCAATATGAATCATCAACATTCAGTTCAATTTTGAAACACTCATCATCATCATCATTATCAAGCAAACTAGGAAAACAAAACTGAATTGAATTGACCAATATAGTTATCCCAAAAAAGTTAGCTTTAGACATTCATTGATAGTAATGATAAATTAGCATTCATTAATAAAAAGTAATAATGAAGATTAACCAAGTTGATTGATCAAAAAAAAAATTGAATCAACTTTAATTGAATTAAAGCAACGTAGAAGAAGAAGAAGAAAGTTGATTTTGAATTATAATTGAGCATCGAATAAATGATTTTTTCTATTTATTTTGTTGTTGTCAGAATAGAAATGTATGAAAAGAATGATGAAATCAATGATGATGATTAGCTCATTTCTTCTCTGAAATCACCATCATTAATCGTGAATCTGATTCATTCATTCATTGATAGCCCGTCCAAGTCAGCAAAAATGTATAAATTCATGAGCAAATCAAAATAATGATTATAATAATCGAAAATTTGAGGCAAAAAAAAAATGATGAGTTCCAAATTAGATGTCAACGGTTCATCATCATCACCTATTGATTTTCTTGATTTTCATTGCTTTCTTTGAATCATCATCAAAAATTTCGGTTACAACTAGAAATCCACAAAAAAAATCAAATATGACAGATGAAATTATTATTATTTCTATTTCTGTCATTGAATTGAAGAAAGACGCCATTATTATTGATTATCAATATGATGATGATGATTATTATTATTAAAATTCAATCAACAACAACAACAATCTCTCTCTCTCTCTCCCTCTCTTTTCAAAAAAATGAAAATTACATTTCAAATCATCATCATCAGTATCTTATTCTTGATCGATGAATAACAGCGAGCGAGCGAAGAAACCCCACAAAAATAAATATAATAAGATGGAATCTGTAGAATATTCTGTGGAAAAAAATGAATACAATTGAAATTCAAAAACATTGAAATTCTTTTCCACAAAAAATATTTTTCCATTCATTCATTCATTTTGGTCCACATTATCATCATCATCATCGTAACAATGAATGGATACAACGTAATTACAATTTTTTTTCCTTCAAAATATAAAAATTTTTATTTTGTTGTTGTTGCTTTTCTTTTCTCTCTTTTTTCCATCTTATTCATTCATTCATTCATTGGTTCATTCAATGGTTCATTCATACAATGATCATCAAATGAGATGGAAAGAAATACAGAATATTTTCTTTGAAAAGAAATATCCATCTCTCTCTCTCTCCTTTTATGATGATTTTTTTTTGAACATTTGAAAGCAATCAAAAATGAGAGAAAATATAACATACGGTATGATGGGTTGATGTG